AAGGGCCTCCCTCGTTTGGATGGAGGTGGCAGCGAAATCAGGAAACTCACGTGAGGCCTTGGTGCCCTTCTGCCTTGCAAGCCCGCCCTGCCCCTGCCGTGTCCTTAGTTCTAGAAGAGAGCCGGGGCAGACGGCCTAACCTGACCCCGACCAGCCAGCATTCCTATTGTCCACGTTTGATGAAGTGCCAGCTGAGATTCACCAAGGTGCCCATTTCTGTGGCAGAGCAAGAGAAAGTAGAAGCGATTCTGGGCAGCGCTATTATGGTGTGATGCCCTCAAATTCTAGGGTCTGCTCTACTAAGAAAGGTTAATTCTGACTAATTGGGAGCTTTCAGAATTTACCTGGATCTGTGGAGTTTATTCTGCTGCTGCTCTTTTTACTCTTGTGCATGATTTATGCCAGCTCCACTAGTCTTTGGGGAGTGGCAAGTAACAATGCAGAATACTGGAGCTCCACACCCAGGCCTCGGAAGATGTCATTAACTCTCTCTCTCTCTTTCTCTCCCACACACGAATGCACACCTGTCTCATTTACCTGCTTATGCATTTCAGTGTTCTCCCCTTACTTTCCATCTTCCCCCGCTTCCATGTTCCATACATTCAGGGTGCACCAAAAGTCAGGCCCCCTAGAGAACATAGGATACGAATTACATTAAATGCTGAAATTGGTTGCCGTTTTCTTCCAAACACTTCCTTACTCCTAAGTACAGTCATATTTTCTCTCAAAATATTAAAATTAATAAAGCGTTGGGGCCTGATTGGTGGTACCCCCTGCAATCAACCATCAATCGATCAAATCCCTCCTTAGGCACGAAGCCAGCAAGACGTCCTGGGGCCAGTGAATCCTCTGGGCCCTGAAAAGGAGGAGGCAGGAGAAGCCCCTTCTGAAAAATGGCGCACTGGTCCAGGCAGTTGTCAGGAATCAAGACTGACACAAAGGTGCGTGGGCACATGCATGCGCGCGCACACAGACACACATAGCCCTGTTTAAAACTGGGCCTTCTAAACAGACCCCCTCCTCCTGACTCTTTCCTTAAACTCTCTAGAGCAGAGTTCCCCAAACTTTCCCAGTTGGTGGCCGGAGTGGGGAGAGGCGGGAAAGAGGGAATGATTTTGTGGGAGGGGCAAGTGCATGTGCACGTGGATGCATGCGCACAAGTGCCCGTGATGTTTCTGCGAGTGGGTCCGCAAGCGTCCGCGATGACACTCGCACAGCTGGGGCTGCGAGCATCCGCAAAGAGGTTCGTGCAGGTGGGGTCGCGAGCGCCCATGATGACACTCATGTGAGTGGAACCGTAAGCACCCATGATGATGCTCGTGTGAGTGGGACCGCGAGGACATGTGATGATGCTCATGTGAGCGTACCAGCTGGCTACTCACAAGGCCCGGTGGTTATTAGCCCAGGGCCCAGTAGTGGACCTTGGCCCACAGGTTGGGGTCCCCTGCTCTAGAGCATGACTGGCTCAGGAATTCTGGGAGTTGAAGTTCATGGATTGCAAAAGGGCCGTAGTTCTCCAACCTTGCTCTAGAGCAGGGGTGTCACGCTCAAGGCCCCGGGGGCTGGATCCATCCTGCGGGGTGCTTAGATCTGGCCTGCACTGCCGCCCTGGAAACAGCAAAGGACTGGCCCGCAGTGCCTCTTGTCAGTGAAAACGGAGCTTGGGAAGCCTGTGTGAGCGGTCCTCTTGAGCTCCATCGTCTCTGGCAGAGGATTGCAGGAGGCCATCGCAGCCGAAACGGAGCTTGGGAGCCCGTTTTCGCTGGCAGAGCGCTTGGGCCACCACAGGTGCCCTGACACGAGGGAACTTGAGCTGGCCACACCCACCCTGGCCATGCCGACCCCGGCCCCCCAAGGTCAGACACAATCCTGATGCGATCCTCAATGAAATCGAGTTTGACACCCCTGCTCTAGAGAGTTGGGGCCAAGAGGAGATGTCCAGCCCTTCCGAAAGGCAAAGAACGGCCTTCCCAGTTAGCAGCCATGGATGCTTTGGGCCTGGGAGGGGCCAGGAGCAGTTGGTACCCAGTGCAGATTTGGCACCACAGATGTTGGGCCACCCAAATGTGTTATTAGTTAGCAGCCACGTGGCCTCGTGTTGTATCAGCTGAAGCTCTTGGACACCACCGGAAGGTTTCTTCATTCCTGGTTCTTCTTAGGATTTGGGCAGCCCCCGGTTTTCATGACAAGACAATCAAAGGAGAGTTGTGGGGGCAAAGGAGGCAGGTTGGTGGGGTATCGGGTGCGTTTGTGTTGATCCGTCAGGCTGTTTCTCTCTTCAGAGGCCATTAAGAGACCTCACTAGTATTTCAAGATCACGTTTCTTAGTCTACGTTTGTTCATCTATAACTTTAGAAAGAAAACAAAAACCTTCTCGGGGGAAAATTAGAATGAAATGGATTTTTCAAATTAAGTGTTAGTGTTCTGGTGCAGAATAAATGCTTCATTCACCAGTTCTATTCTTGTAAATATTCTAGGTTGAGAAACATAAACAGACAAAGAAAGAAAGAAAGAAATGCACTTGAAATGAAAAAAAAATATGGGAAAGAGGCAGGGCACTTTGGCAGGGAAATGGGCTGCTCTTGGCAGGCTCCACGGTGCAATTTAGCTGGGAGACGCAGCGGAGAAGCCCTGTGTGGGGAGCACCGACTTGCTCACTCTGGCTGGGTCGGAAGCTCAGCTTGCAAACCTTGGAGCCAGCTGCAGTCGGCTGGAAGGCAGGGGTTGCTTTTGGCCTCCAGCTTTGGGCTCAACAGGCCACCAGCAGTCTTCAAAAGGCCCTGCCAGATACGTCAGGAGACTGGGGTGGTGTCCACGTGGACATCCAAGATGTGGGGCCAGAATGAGGCTCAGTTCCCAGAGTTTTGTGAAAGGACAAACAGTTCAGCACTCGTGCAGAAGAAGGAAGGCAGCTGGTTTGGAATAACTCCTGAGGGAAGAGAAGTGGCTGACTCCCTTCTTTGTCTTGGGGAAAGCAGCCCTGAACTGACCCCTTGTGCTTTCTATCAAGGGGAAGAGGGAGAGGTTTGTCCAGAGCGGGCACCAAGATGCCCATGCGCCACCACGAGAGAAGGACGTTTCCCAGAGCATCCCTTTGGTGTCGGTCCTGGTCAGCAGTGACTGTGCAGCCTTCACCTGGTCAGTGGCCGATTATGCGCCCTTCACTTCTACACATGCGTCCCCCCTTCCTTGCCCACTCCAGTTGCATTGGCATATGCTGGTCAGACCTGCAATCCTCTGGTTGCCTTGTGTGAATGCAAGGCACCCCCGACTCCCTCTGACTTCTGTGCTGCCTTTTGTCAGGTTCCCAGCTCTCACCTCTTTTCAGGATGGTTCCATCACCTTGTGAAACAGTGCGCATTGTAAGGGGGAGCTGTGTTCCCCCCCCCATTTAAGCCCTACCATGGGGCTAAGAGCCTTCTCTGCTCTCTTCTTAAAATGCTTTCTCCTTTCAACCTATTTGGCTCTTCTCCGGCCCTTAGCTGGACAAAGTTAGCAACTTCAAATAATGCCCCTTCCTTAACTCTCCAAAATAAAAGTTAACGATAACGTATCAGAGTTGGAGTCCTTGAAAATTAAAGGAGTCAAAAATGTCCCTTTTCACTCAGCAGCATCTCCCTTAGAAAGGAGGTTAGGCATCAGGACAGGTGCTTTCATCCCCTCTGAAGCACCTGGATTTTTCTTCCTCTCCCTGCCATTCAACGTGGAGAATGAAGAGCCAAGGATCGCTCCTGCCGGCTCCCAGCTGATGCAGGGGAAATAAACATTTCCTCAGCCCCTTTCACTGCTGAGGGGAGTGAAATCTATTTCACTCACGCAGCCATTTTCTTCATCCTTCACCCAGGTCCAAAGGGTCTGGCTCAGGTCAGAAGATCGGACTGAACCTTGGCCTTAAGAAGGCTCTAGGCCGGACCTGACCAGCCTGCTAATACAGGGGTCTCCAACCAGGGGTGAAATGCTCCTGGTTCGGACCGGATCGCCTGATCCGGTAGCGATGGTGGCGGGTTGTTCGGAGAACTGGTAGCAAAAATCCCTGCCCCCCCCAATGCCCAGCTGAGCCACACGATCATCAGAGGCTTAAAAAAAAAAAAACTTTTAAAAGCATTTTTTCTACAACCTCTTCCGCCAAAAAAATGCTTTTAAAAGTAAAAAAAAAAAAACCTTTGATGATCACGCGGCTCAACTGGGATGTCAGAGGCTTTTCAAAGCATTTTTTTGCATTTGCAGAAAAAATGCTTTGAAAAGTTTTTTAAAAAAAAAGTTGGCCACGCCCACCCAGTCACATTCCTCCCCCAAGCCACGCCCACAGAACCGGTAGTAACAAATTTTACATTTCACCGTTGGCTGAGGAACTCTGGGAGTTGAAGTCCACAGAGCCTTGTGCTAAGAAAGAAAGGGAGACCCAGGCTAGTGAAGATGGTCAGAGAAGGAAGGGTCAAGCTGCTGCAGGGGAATGATGGCTTCCACTTTCATCCTAAATTGTCATCCCTGGGTGGAAAAGAACCAGGTGGTGATGCAAATATGGAGTCTTCATTAAAGATTTGTTGATGGACCGAACTGAGGGACGAGCATCCGTCTTCAACCAGTCTTTAATGGGACTGGACTCTTAGTCGAGCTCTTACTTTTTCCAAGCATACTGAATTAAGGCGATGGAAGCCATTTTGGTTTAGCGGTTAAGGCACCAGGCGATGGTGAGTGCCAGTCGCTGTTTCTCAGCCTGGCCTACCTCACAGGTTTGCTGTTTAGGGAGGGGGAATAGGAGGAGGAAGTTGTGTTGGACATGTTAACTACCTTGAGTTATTTGCAAAATTAATAAAGGCGGGATACAAATAAATGAATAAAAATGCAGCACTTGGGACTGCCAATATAGTACTTTGAAGCAGCCCTTGCTTTGATCCTCTCCTTCTGCAAGTATTTGCTGAACGTAACAAGTACAGTGTATGTCATGTGAAGCACAGCTCATTCCGTTCTGATTTCCTTTTTCTTTCCATTTTTTGCAGGTTCATGTCTGGCACAGGGCTGGTGATTTACCCAGAAATTGGGGACAAGCTGGACATAATCTGTCCGAAGGCAGAGCCATCCAAACCGTATGAATATTACAAACTGTACTTAGTGAAACGGGACCAAGCAGAGTTCTGCAGCACCATCATGGACCCAAATGTGCTGGTGACCTGCAACAGGCCTGAGCTGGAAATCCGCTTTACCATCAAATTTCAGGAGTTCAGCCCCAACTATATGGGCTTGGAATTCAAAAGATACCAGGATTACTTTATCACATGTGAGTGCCCCCTTCCCCCAAAGTCTCCCTCTCCCCCAGTGTTAACTTTCTCTCCCAGACTCCTGTGGAGAGTCTCACAATCACAATCCTCTAAACTCCGCTGAAGACGGTACCTATGCTGGTAACGAAACGTTGGAAACGAACCCGCAAGCTCGGAGAACGAACCTTCATCTTCCTCTCACGGTCTTTCTCTTCCCCTCCTCTCTCTCCCTTCCACCTCCCTTTCTCTCCTCCCCCTGCACCCCCATTTCCACCCAGGAACCTCTTTCCATAGGAAAGACACCGCATTGTTCAATTGCAATTTGTTAAATGCTCTGTGGAGCCATCTTGTTACCTGTGGCTCTTTTGAAAAATTCTGAATTGGATTTATTTATTTAGCGTATGGCTGGTCACACACAGTATTAAAACACTTCATTTTTACAGGTTAAAAACAATTAAAACAATAAAAAAGCAGTAAGAAAACCTAAAAGGAAAACAGAAACAACATTTCAAACTTTAATGTCGAGTTTGGAGATCCAGTCAGTAGCTGTCGTTGTTACGCAGAGGAAGTCCCTAGAATCTCCTGGATACCTTCTGTTAGGGCATTCCCTCACTATATGCTGGATAGTCTGTCGAGGGCCCCGCAATCACATTGTGCTGAAGGTGTCTTTCCCCATTTATACAGGGAGTCAGGACACACCCCATGAGTTGTTCTAATTCTATTATATGTCACCCATATGTGTCAGGGTAGGCTAAATCCTGGAGGTATACTACTAGGGCTGATATGCTCGGAGACATCTTGGGGCGAACAGCTATTCCATGCCTCTATCCACTTTTGTGTGGTGTTCTGATGATCGGCCATCAACTTACGCGCTGTCAAGATTGGTGGATTTCTTGACTTTAATCGGCATTTTAAGAGATCAGGAGTGTATCCATGTATGGGTAGAGAGGAATTTAACAGGATCTTACTATACTCCCGAATGAGAGCTTCTTGTCGTCGTAAGTGCAGGGGGAGTATGTGACTAAGAACTGGTAACCAGTAACTAGGTGTAGATTTTATGCACCCAGTAATTAGCCTCATCGTATGGTTAAGTTGAACATCAATAAGTCCTGTATGTGAGCTGTATGTGAGCTGTCCTATTCTGAATTGGAAATAGCTGCTGTGCTGGATGCACAAGGGGAAGGGGAAAGATTCCTCAGCTGCCTGGTTCTCCATGCACTCCCAAGCATGCTGCTGGCCGAGCACAAGGGTAACGTTTGCCTGGGCAGATGTCACATCCAAGAGCAGGAGCCAGTGGAAGTCCGGAAAAGTTCTGGATTTGCTATGTTAAAAGTCTCGGGAAAGAGTCTGAAGGGAGACAGGAAACAAAGTCAAGAGTGCATTGGGAGCGTTTCTCATGATTTTGATCCAGAGATTGAGAGCAAAGGAAGCTTCCGGTTAGAAGTCCTCTCCACGCACCATTGGTGATTGCTTCGATGGCCCCCATAGTGTTTCTCCCAAGCTCTGTGCCGCTTTAACTGTAGCATTTAACACAGCATTTGGAGTTCTTCAGGAGAATCCAGTGGTTTCCTTGGCTTGTTGATTTGCACATCTCTTGGAAGGGCATTTTTTTTTAGTCTGGGAGGGGTTAGATTACCAAGATGTTTTGGTGGAAAACCAGCCCAGAGATTTCAGAGCTGCACAGAATCACTGGTATGGAATATGTTGCTGCTTGTTCCTCCTTTTGGGCACCTGTTAAATGCATCTCCATGGCTGAGGAGGACCACCCTGTTTGGGATCCTCTAGTACAGTGTTTCTCAACCTTGGTAGCTTGAAGATGGGTGGACTTCAACTCCCAGAATCCCCCAGCCAGCAGCGCTGGCTGGGGGATTCTGGGAGTTGAAGTCCACCTATCTTCAAGCTTCCAAGGTTGAGAAACACTGCTCTAGTATGTCTTTTAAGCTCCATAGCAGTCTCTGCCCCCCATTCCCCCAGAGATTGTCCTTCTTCCCTATCTTTCCACATCAAGAGGAAGGACTGCAGCCAGGACAATCAGTATGGGTAGCCTTTGACTTATGACCCCAATTGAGCCCAAAATTTCTGTTGGTAAGTGAGACATTTATTAAGTGGGCTTTGCCCCATTTTATGACCTTTCTTGCCTCAGTTGTTAGGTGAATCACTGCCGTTGTTAAGCTAGTAACCCCGTTGTTAAGTGAATCTGGCTTCCCCATTGACTTTGCTCGTCAGAAGGTCGCAAAAGGGAATCACATGATCCCGAGACACTGCAAACGTCATAAATATGATTCAGTTGTCAAGTGTCTGAATTTTGTTCCTGTGACCACGGAGATGCTGCAGTGGTCGTAATTGTGAAATAATTGTCATAAGTTCCTTTTTTCAGTGCCATTGTAACTTTGAACGGTCACTAAATGAACTGTTGTAAGTCAAGGACTGCCTGTATCTCCATCCACAGAGGGGGAGGGGCAAGAGGAGTCTTTCGGAAGGACCCTCCCTGGTTTTCCAGAGAGTAAGGGGAGAAACTCTTCCAGTCTCGCAAGATTCAGTAAATAAAGATAAGAGTGAGTTCTCAGACTGTAGTTATGCTTCATGTCTGGACTACCTCAAAGGGCTAACGTAACTATTTGTGGGACCTATTTTGGTTAGGTACACTATTATCATTTAGAATAATGTAACGGGTAACAGTAACAGGTACTAGTTCAATCTATAGCAGGGGTCTCCAACTTTAAGCTTGGAAGACTTCAGCTCCCAGAATTCCCAAAGCTGGCTGGGGAATTCTGGGACTTGAAGTCCTCCAACCTTAAAGTTGCCAAGGTTGGAGACCAGGGGTGAAATGTAAAATTTGTTACTACTGGTTCTGTCGGCGTGGCTTGGTGGGGGAGTGTAATGTGATTGGGTGGGCGTGGCCAACTTTTTTTTAATAAACTTTTGAAAGCATTTTTTCTAATGCTTTGAAAAGCTTCTGCCGATCAGGCAACTCAGCTGGGATTGTCAGAGAGGCTTTTTGAAAAATGCTTTGAAAAGCCTCTGACGATGCCAGCTGAGCTGTGTGATCATCAGAGGCTTTTTTGGCTTAGAGGCCGGGTTGGCTTAGAAAATGAATTTTAATTGGGTGTCTGTAGTTTTTTAATATAAGGTTTTTTAATATAAGGGCCAAAGTTTAATATATTTTAATTGTTTTTAAATTTTATGGGTATATGTTTGTTTTAATATGGCTGTACACCGCTCTGAGTCCTTTGGGAGAAGGGCAGTATAAAAATTTAATAAATAAATGAATAAATAAAAGCATTTTTTCGTCGGAAGAGGTTGTAGAAAAAATGCTTTTAAAAGTAAAAAAAAAGGCCTCTGATGATCATGCGGCTCAGTTGGGCATGGTGGAGGGGGGGCGCAGGGATTTTTGCTACTGGTTCTCCGAACCACCCGCCGCCATCGCTACCGGATCGGGTGATCCGGTCCGAACCGGGAGCATTTCACCCCTGTTGGAGACCCCTGATCTATAGTGTAGGTAGCTAAATAGATCCTTGGAGCAGGACGGCCACTTTTGCCTCCTGCTGGCTCCCGACTTCTCTTTCTAACGTCCTATTTGTGTTATTTGTCAAGTGCTGCAGGGCCTTGTTTATTTATTTATTTATTTATTTTTTGAATTTGTATACCGCCCTTCTCCCTGAGGACTCAGGGTGGTGAACAGCCAAGTAAAAACATCAAGTACAAATATTAAAATACAATTAAAAATATATATATAAATTTGGCCCCATTTGATGGGGGATGCAGCCTGAAAAGGAGGCACTGATTGATGGGCTCTCCTGTGGCTGACGTTAGGAGGGCCTCTAATGATGTGGCAAGACGGATCCTTTTAGGCCCGGTGTTCGTGCAGCCCTTGGCATCGAGGGCCTGTTCGCAGTACCAAACAACATCCGGTCCTACTTATCCTCCCTCCCAATGAACTTCTCTCATTTCACTGATTGGGGAGAAGGAATTGTTTGGTTTCTGCTACATCTGCTTTCTATATAGCCACGGAGGACGCATGGAATGCTTCTAGCTGGGGCTCTGGATGCCAACAGGGTTTCTTTCCTATTGTCTTCTGGGCCTGCCCTGCCTAGATTGTTCCAGAATACCAGTGTGGCTTTGGGCTTCTTTCCTTCGTTTCCACCCTCCACTTCACTAAATGGACATATGTTGATATGCTTGTTTGGCTTTCATTTCTGCTTGAAGAGTTGAAAATGGCAAGACGGCGAAGAATGACCACGTACAGTTTTTAGATAATTACAGACTTGGACCAGAATTTCCTCCCAGGCTGTCCCTTGGTCCCACTGTGAACTTAAAGGGTGGAAGGAAATTGAAAGCAGATGCCTGTTTGGCCGTGCCCATTCAGCAGAGGCTTCCACCAACTCCTCTAATTCAGAGAGCCTATGATTTTCTCACTCTCTAAAAGGAGCCGTTCCTTTGCTGCCATCTTGGTCCAGTTAAAAGAGCTTCTGGAATAACAGAGGAGTCACTGAGGCACGTGAGCAGAGAGCAGGGCAACAGGTTGGCAGAACCAAAAAGTGGGAAAAGAGGTGAACAAGTATGATGAGAACTGCTCTAGTCTGGATGGAGCTGACCATCAATTCGTAGGGAAGGGAATAGGTTTTTCAACATATTTAATATTAATGCTCAGGTTTGTTGTTCCGTGTTGTATTTCTCTTTTGATAGGAAGCACTTTCCAAGTCTTTCCTGAACTGGGCTTTGACGGCCTTCTTCTCAGGTCAAGTAAGACGGAAGGCTTTTGGTGGGGGGAAGCAGCACTGGTCTTCAGATTCTATTTCAAATCATCATAATGTTATGAAGCATAAACGTTGGAAGAGTCCTTGCAGATAATCTAGCCTGACTCCCAGCTCTACTGAAGGACCCCTTAATAGAACCTCAACAAAGATCTCCGTCCAGCCTGTTTCAACATCCCCAGCAAAGGCAGAACAGATTTTCTGAGGCAGTTTTTACTATTAGGCTTTCTTTTCCTGGGGTCCAAGTGAAAACATGCTTTTGAAAT